GTTTAATTTGTTATCAATATCTTTTCTGAAACACGTAAGTTCCGTGGAGAAGGTGTCTTTGAAATTTTTCAGGTCTGTTTTCATGTCCAACCTGGTAGCTTTTAGCTCTTCATGGATGGCGCGGATGCTAGCTTGCAGGCCATCCATACCCTCGTCGCTATCGTCATCTGTATCTCTTTCCATTGTTTGTTTTTCAACTTTTCCCGTTTTCATTGGTGTCTTGCCTCTCTGTTTACGACCAGTTTTCCCCTTCATTAGTGTGAAATGCTGTCAGAGTAATAATTCGAGTAAATTTGGAGAGTTTTGGTTAGTGAGCCTGGGAGCGCTCACCTTACACGTCCACCCACATTGCCTCCTTACCGGAAAACCCCTTTTCTTGTTTGTTTGTTTTTTTACCAACCAGAAGGACAAAAGCAATTGAATCATTTTATTGATTCAATTGCTTTTGTTACCATTAGGCTTGTTTAAACATGCATGCATGTAATGGGAATAAGTGTACATTTTGTCAGCCCTAAGAGTAGGGATGGGTATCGAAAACCGGTTCTTGTTGAGAACCGGTTCCCACTGTTTCAATTCCTTGGAATCGTTTGCCACTTTTAAAAACGATTCCCTTATCGATTCCAGTCGCCCCGATGACGTCATCACGTTGACTAGCGTCTTTTACCCAGTAGGAAACACGGCGCCTGAGCGGCACAAACGCTCAAAAGTTTGGTTACACTTTATGAGAAAGGATGACAACAGGGCAACGTGCAATACTTGCAAAGTAGAGATTTCATCAAAGGGAGGAAACACTACGAATATGCAAAAGCATTTGCTCAAAAAACACGCGATTGCTTTCAACGAATGTCGTGTTTTTGATCCGCTCCGGACTAGCGAAGCTCAACCCAGCAGCAGCGGTAGCGTTTCCACGTCCTCTCCCGTTAATACTGCAGGTAACTAATCAATTAGCATTGCATATTATGTTAGCGCGATTTACCTTATTACAAAACCTGCTATTACTGTGCGTTGCATTTAGATAACCATGATGAGAGAGACAGAGTCTGGCTGGCGCTCGCTGGCAGTTCTCGCTGCAGTCTACCGGTAGCGTCTCCTTTCAGGCCAGGATAGACGAATGTCACCCAGCAGTGTCTAAGTTTGTGGTCAAAGGCTTGCACCCATTTGCCACAGCAGATGCCCCCGATTTCACTTTGGTAAGTGAATATGTTTAATTGCAGGCAGGGACATTACTGGATATTCTTGTGTAATTGCTACAGAATAATTTATGTTAAACTTTGTTATTGCTACAGGAGAATATTTATTTTATTATTTTACATATACATTTTTTTTCCTGGGGACCCTGTGACACCCCATTGAAGAGCCGTAGGCTGTGAATCTCTTAAGATCTCACTGTTGGGTTTGTAAGGCCATGTTACTCCTAAATTTCTATCTTGTTCAAAGAGAAGATATAAAACAAAGTTCTAAGCTAATCGACTTTAGTGTTCTCCTTTTTAAAAAAAAAGAATCGATAAGAGAATCGATAAGGAATCGAATCGTTAAACAGAATCGAAAATGGAATCGGAATCGTTAAAATCTTATCAATACCCATCCCTACCTAAGAGGCCCCAGCACTCACTCACCATCGCCTCCCCAAGCAGTTGCCTGCCTTGCCTGGGGGCATGCCTTGTCTACACATTTTCAATGGGACCTCTTTTTGAGTAATCACTGCAAAAGGAATAGCAGTTGCTATTACGCTGTAATTAAGTCCGTATTCACAGCGTCGATCAGATTGTTTTCAATTATCTCTTGTCAGCTGCTACTTAAATGGAGAGACTCCATATTTGCACAGCTACTTTTGCTGTTGTATCAGACAGATGGTCTTTTAGACTGAAGAAAAATGTCCAACAAAGACTTAGCAGGGGTGCTGTTCATCTCTCACTGCATGTGGAACTTGTTACTGAAGTCTACCTGGAATATTCTCTTAATTAAACTATACAGAATCACCACATACTGTTCTGATAGACACACACATTCACATTACCGAGTAAATTACACCCTCCACTCAGCTTTACCTCTGTGACTTTGGAATCATGTACCATAGCAAATAACTGTGTCTAAAACTAACAACATAAATGTTTACTACACAGATGTTTGCAGTGGTTTTGTCTCTGCCTCTTTAGGAAATTACACAGAGACAATTTCAAGCAGTCAGGTGCAATTTCTGCTATTTTTGTTTTTCTCTGCTCTGTTCAGAACAGTCCGGTTAATCAGATCTGCTTTCCATTTGGACTTAAGGATGGCGGTTTGAAAGAGAAAAGCCTTCTGTTCAAAGCGCCTCCCTTCAACAAATAAAACTGTGCATATTTATGGTTATATTTGTTTATCTTATTAGATCAAATAACGAGGCGATTTGCTTCAAGTGCGTCGTTAAACACTGGCTCTAGAGAATGAAATGGGATTGCTCTTGAGCTAATGTTTTGTTTCAGATATTGTATAGATAAGAAAATGAGACCCGTTTTTCTTTTTTTTTTCTATTTTCATCTGTCTTACCTCCATTTAAGGAGTGAACTGGTGTTACTCATCAGTGTTGACAAGCTTCTTTACTAAATGAACTTAGGGATGAAAGCATGAAAAAGACTTTAAGCAGGATAGAGGGTGAGACAGTATGCAAATGCTTTGACGATCAAGGCCAACGCCTGCTGTGGAAGGCCAAAAACAGACATTATGCACCCCTGCTCTGCATTCATTTCTTTAGTTGTCTTCCTTTTCCCTCCGTCTTTCAAGCACTCCCTCGTTCGTTCTAACCTTTCCAGGTCTTTTTCTTTTGTTGAATATCCAAAATGACAGCACATAAAACACCTTGGAACAGAAGCTCCCTAAGTGCTCATTAACACCTCGTTAGCATAGCAAATGAACATCTCAAGAAAGGAGTGGGTCTGGGATGGGTGGTGAAGCTAAACAAATGAGTCAAAGGATCTTTTTTGTCTTTCTACTGAGCCATATCAGAAATATCTGAATCCATTTACTTCCAACTTCTTCTGGCACAACAGAGCTTAACCCTTTTTAACCACATCCACATTTAATTTAATTTTCATCAAGGCCACACAAAGAACGTTCAAACATCGGTGGCTCTGACATTGTTTGCCTAGTCGCAACACCCCCAATACCTTTCACATGCTTTTCTTCTGCAAGACATTACAATGTCAGCCTTGTAATTATCTCTCTTTACTTAGAGCAGCAGAAGCCACTGCTGTTGACTGACCATCACCTGTCCTTGACCGAGATATGTTGTGTAGTAAACAGTCAGTTTTTATTCAGTGTATTAATGTACAACACAAACCCAGGATGTTGCTGCTTGTGTTGTGACATTGGGAGCTCCAAGAAAAACTTGGTGTTAAACTAATATAATTGAAAGAGAGACAAAGCATATTTTTCACTTGTTTGATCTCATTTATTTCTGTATTAAATCATGGCTAAATGTTCTGCTACTAAAATCCCTGTGCTTTTTTCTGCAGTCCATACAGAGCTCCATAAAAGTTGCTAACCTGATCTTAGTTGTCCATGTGCACACTATTGGCCATTACTAAAGACTACAGTACCTATTGTTACTATAAACATGCAATAGTAGGACTGTAGCTCACCTATGCCCTCTTGCTCTGGTTGCGTCTACAACCATCGTATGAAAGTGTAACATTTGTTGTCTCTTTAGGATTCCTGCATCTTGGTCTTAGACTCATTTTACCCCTGACCAAAGAAAAATTGTGTGTCCTGCTTCCACAGATTCCTGTGCATTTGCTTACCTCCAGGCCCTCTTTGTACAGTTATCTGTATTTTGTGTTCATGACAAGCTAGACTCCTACTGAAATCCATATTAATGGCCAAGTACTGTAAGTTGATGCTAATGAGTTATACAGTCTATGGTCACACGCCCACAAGAGGTCAACGCCTAAAACAAATCTTAAAAATGCTGTGCTCAAAACGTTCGTGCAGTCTCTCTTCACTTGTGTTTGGTATTTTTTGATCTGTATGTGTATTGTTCTTGTCAGCAGGTGAATGTGTGTTTTATTCAACAATACTTGCTCTCCTTTTGTGCTCCTGCATTATCATTGTGTACTTCATGGTCCTTTTCAAATGGCCCATTGAGGTATTCAGTTCTGGTTAAAGAGCTATTAATTCTGTGCACGCCTCTTTCCGCTTTTGGCTCTGTCAACAGCATTTCATTAGAATAGTCTCAGTAGTTTGTAGCTGTTGAATGGTTTCCCTCTACCTTCAACTCCCAGTGGCAGGAGGTTGAGGTCCTTGAAGCCCTTTTTCAGAAAATTGCTGCTGACAGCAACAGCAGTACGTGTGGCTTCTGTGTTTTCCCTTTGTTCTTGTTGTTCTTTTTGATTCAGCCCTGGAAAAATGAATAACACAGGATTATAAAGTGTTACTGTTGCATGTAGCGTTTTCTTTTTCCCTCTCCCCCCTGCTTTCCCTTGATTACGTCCTCAAGGACGTTATGTATTCAATAGAGTTTGTTTGTCTGCTAGCAGGATTAGAAAAAACTGCAAGGTTGATATTTATGAAAGTTGGTGGTGAAGCGGAGCGTGGGTAAAGAAAATACCCATTAAATTTAGGTGTCTACAGTTCAGACAGAGCAGCTGTACCATTACTGGGTGTCTGTGTGTGTTTATCAATTTAATGTTTAAACCTTTTTCCAATTTTTACTAACTGGATGATTTTGGACTGACACATTTTTATAATCTTCACCAAAGTTGGCACAGATTATCTCCACACCAACCCCAGAATTTTTTTCCCACAATGGATTTAAATTCAGTGTTAAAGTTCCCAAACTGTTTATCATTTAAAATAGATCTGGAAATACATTGATATTTTATATGCAAACTGACCTCTGATAGAAGAGTGAACAGTTACCTTAGAAGACATCTGCACACTCTGATTTCCTCTCTTGCATCCTTTTCTTTGCTCATTTTGTCTTTCCAGTTAATTTGAAGATTTACAACCTTCCCTTCTTCTTTCAGGCAGTACTATGAGATGCTGTACAACACTGCGGATGAGCTGCTGAACCTGGTGGTGGACCAGGGTGTCCGCTACACAGAGCTGGAGTACATCAATGCCCTTTCCTTACTCCATCGCAGTCAGACAGGTGTAGGTGATTTGAGCACTCAAAACACCCGGCTACAGAGGCTGAAGGAAATCATCTGTGAGCAGGCCGCCATTAAACAGGCCACCAAGGATAAGAAGATCACCACAGTGTAATGATAAAGCAAGGACGTGGCATTCAGAGGGAGATGACCATTGAAAAGGAACAGCAATGCATTTTTCAGTGCGATGAACTCTGGCGTGTTTTTGTTTCTTTCAAATTTTTGTTGCACAAATACGTGATGTGTTTTAGATTTGAGATTTTGGTTAGAAAACGCAAAAAGATGTTTGCTTTAGACACAAGATCTGGAAATCTGTTGATGGAAAGTGTGTCATCTACATTTCATACTTCCTAATGATGATGAAACACACTCTAGTCAAGTTTTGACAAATAGATATGGATTTTTTTTTTACTTATATGAGCTTATGTGAATTGACTGACTCTACATGGGAAGGGAGGTGACAACTTGCATAACTGCAAGCCTTGCAGGTCCATTGGTCCATGTATCTATGTCACAAAGCAGCCTATATTGTCAATTTCCGCTATTTAAATCACATAATAAATGCAGCGCACACGCCCGGACTCTTAACAGTGCTTTGCTCACCATGACTACATCTCCAGATAAAGGGCGATTGTCTTGGACACTCACCCGAACTTAGTCCTCATCTCATCTCATTTTCCTATTAGATCTAAACTGCTGCTCTCAATTACACCTCTTTCTCTCCTCTCCTGGCAGCCCCATGGGCCCACTGATTCTGTCTGCAATAACAGATGCCAGATTAGACTGTCTGAATGAGGCCACATCTTCCGCCTGCTGCCAATTTGGGTTGGTCCCCTATGATTTCCCTAGCTGACGATTGTATCATAGCTATGGTTGTTAAAAATCTGTTATCTTTTTTTTCCTCATAGTTCGTGCAGTAAAGTTGTGCGACTATTGTGGAAAGTTGTGAATCAATTAACATATTATTTTGCAAATTGGACAAAGAGACCACAGTGGAACGACTCTGCTTTTTTGTGCTAAGGCACATATGTGGCTGTACAAACCAAAACTATGCAATGCTGAATCTTTATTTTGCCATTCAAACTGCATGTGCTCAATCCTATAAAGTGAGCTAAACATATAAACTCAAGAGACGATCACAAATCATTCCCTTCCCCACAATCCTCCTTGTTTTTAGTTCATTAACTTGGGGGAGAAGTACTTAACAAGAGGGGGAGAGGGAAATGGGAGCCTTGTCAATACACTGGGCCCAGCGCTGGTCTCCCTGAAGCCCACAGAGCAATCCATCATAATGACACATAGGCTGGGATCGATGGGAAAACAACTGCGGAGCTGCTGAGTGGTTCGCCTACCACTCTGAAACGTACACTTGGTGTAAAATCTAAAATCTGCTCATTCATCTGTTCACTTCAGAGTTACTTTTATAATGTTATACATGGAAAACTTTATTTCAATGCTAAATGACTCTGTCAGGGCCGTGCCATTCACAGATGCTGTTAGACTCCTATTATGCTGCATAAATATAGCCCATAAAATTCTGGAATAATGCTCTTATATGTATTTGAAAACCACTCCTGTCCATTCTTTTTATTCCTGAATTACACTTGCAAAAAGGTTCTTTTACTGTTACCCGTATCTCACCTGCTTTTCTTTGCAATTGATCTAAATTTTGCACATCTGTTTAAAGAACTGATTTTATGTTTGGCATAGAAATGCATTGAATTCTGGCTTTAGTGGTTACCAGGCCTATTTCTTGATCTGGTTCTGAAGTGTCATAAATGCTCTGAAATGTATCTATTCTAAATGAAGCACTCACAATTTGACAGTGCATACACTAAAAAATAAATTCTTCAAATTCCAGTCTTTGTCTGTGTACGTTTCTTTCCTTACATGGTTGTAAAGGTCGCATTTTCCACTCTTAGATGTTCAGCTGCTAGGAGTTCATACACACATTGACCTTCTGCACGTGACAGCCTGTCACTGTTTTGAAGCAGTGAGGATGTTTCTGCCATGTATCACACAAGTGAGACGGATCCAACACACACACGAGGATTTCCTTAAGCTGACAGGTGTGATGTGTTGTGTGACATGGCTTTAAGCACAGAATGCTAAAGTGTATTATATTGGAATCAGAAAAATAAGTACAAACAACATCATCTGAAGGCTTTGTTGTTGTGGGCATCTTGTTGGCACAGGATGATATTTGACAAGGCTAACTGTGTTATTAGCATAGCTCTGAATGAGCCCTGGCTGATGCAAAATCCAAATGCAAGGGAAAGGGTGGACGATACAAGTCTACATTTGTTTTAGTTTGTTTTAGTTTACATTTTGTTTTAGCTATTTTAGTTAACAACCGGTGGTGTAACCCTGCCAACATAACAATCAAAGAAAGGACTTGTTGCCCGGACACTGAACTGTGTGCTGTTGGACTCAGGCCGTATTATTTACCCAGGGAATTCTCTCACGTCGTCTTGGTGGCTGTCTATGTTCCCCCCTCTGCTAATCCCACAGCTGCATGTGACACTATCCACTCTGCCATAGCTCGGCTACAGACTCAGCACCCGAGTGCCTTTATTGTGATCTCGGGTGACTTCAACCATGTATCACTGGACAATACACTACCAACATTCAAACAATATGTGGACTGTCCCACCAGGGGAGAGAAAACTTTAGACTTACTGTATGCTAACGTCAAGGATGCATACAGCTCCTCCTCCCTCCCCCCACTTGGTAGGTCAGATCATAACCTGATTCACCTCACCCCCCGCTATGTGCCAATTGTGAGGAGGGAACCTGTGACCACCAGGACTGTTAGGAGGTGGTCAGAGGAGGCAATAGCGGAACTACAGGGCTGTTTCGAGGTGACCAACTGGGAAACACTCTGTGAGCCTCACGCCAAGGACATCAATGGGCTTACTGAGTGTATCACAGGCTACATAACTTTCTGCACCGACTCCATTGTTCCAGCTCAGACTGTTCATTGTTACCCAAATAACAAGCCGTGGGTGACTAAGGACATCAAAGCCCTCCTCAACAACAAGAAGAGGGCTTTCAGAGGGGGCAACAAAGAGGAGGTGAGGAAGATCCAGGTGTTACTAAAGGACAAGATCAGAGAGGCTAAGGACAATTACAGGAGGAAGCTGGAGTGGAAACTCCAGCAGAACAGCATGAGAGAGGTGTGGAGGGGCATGAAGACCATCACTGGATTCAGGCCAACCAACAGCAGGGGAGCTGAGGGAGGTGAGAATAGAGCCGACGAGTTGAATCTGTTTTTCAATAGATTCGACACCACAGTGTCTGCTCCTACCCCCACAACCTCACCTGCAGTCAGCCTGGAATCCAGAGCCACACCACTGTGCCAGCCTCTCTCTTCACATGTTGCCTCCTGTGAGATTCCTGACACCCCTCCCCCACCCATCACCTTCACTCAATACCAGGTTGAGATGCAAATGAGGAGACTTCACTCAGGCAAGTCTGCTGGACCAGACGGAGTGAGTCCCCTTGTCCTCAATACCTGTGCCCCCCAGCTGTGTGGAGTCTTTCATAAACTGTTTATGCTGAGTCTGAGTCTGCAGAGGGTCCCGGTGATGTGGAAGACATCATGCCTCGTCCCTGTACCAAAGGCGCCACGCCCCAGTGGCCCCCAGGATTACAGGCCCGTGGCACTGACCTCCCACATCATGAAGACCCTGGAAAGGCTCATCCTGGACCAGCTGCGACCCATAGTAAGACCACATCTGGATCCCCTTCAGTTCGCTTATCAGCCTCGTCTCGGAACAGAGGACGCCATCATCTACCTGCTCAATCGTGTCTACACCCATCTGGACCAGCCGGCGAGCACTGTGAGGGTCATGTTTTTTGACTTTTCCAGTGCTTTCAACACCATCAGGCCGACCCTCCTGGGTGATAAGTTAGCAGCGATGCAGGTGGATGCTTCTCTGGTGTCCTGGATTGTTGATTACCTGACAGGAAGACCACAATATGTACGTCTCCCACAGTGTGTGTCTGACAAGGTGATTAGCAACACAGGGGCACCACAGGGGACTGTCCTCTCCCCCTTCCTCTTCACCCTCTACACCACAGACTTCAGCCACTGCACAGAGACCTGCCATCTTCAGAAGTTTTCTGATGACTCTGCGGTGGTTGGATGCATCAGCAGGGATGATGAGACAGAGTACCGGGCTGTGGTCGACTCCTTTGTCACATGGTGTGAGCAGAATCATCTTCAGCTCAATGTGGCAAAGACCAAGGAACTGATAGTGGACTTCAGGAAGACCAGGAAACACTTGACCCCTGTTTCAATCCAGGGGGTCAGTGTTGACATTGTGGAGGACTATAAATACCTTGGAGTATACATTGACAATAAACTGGACTGGGCTAAAAACACCACAGCACTTTACAGGAAGGGCCAGAGTCGTCTCTATTTTTTGAGGCGACTGAGGTCCTTCAACATCTGCCAGAAAATGCTGAGGATTTTCTATGAGTCTGTTGTGGCCAGTGCGATCCTCTATGCTGTTGCATGCTGGGGGAGCAGGCTGAGGGTCGCAGATGCCAACAGACTTAATAAACTGATCCGTAAGGCCAGCAATGTTGTGGGGATGGAGCTGGACTCCCTCAAGGTGGTGTCGGAGAGGCGGATGCTGTCCAAGATAAAGACAATGTTGGATAACACCTCCCACCCACTCCATGACATGTTGGTCAGTCACAGGAGCACGTTCAGTGAGAGACTGAGATTACCGAAAAGCACCACTGAACGACACAGGAAATCATTCCTGCCTGTGGCCATCTCCCTGTACAACGCATCCACTTAACACACTGTTTGCTGCTACAACTACACATGTTTCTTTTCCAACTATTTATTTATAAGTGACTTATGTATGTATGTATGTATATATATGTATATATTGTACTATTCTTAGTTAGCGTATTGTCTGTCTTGTCTTAATGTTGGTTTAAAATGGAGCACTAACAAAAAATAATTTCCCCCAGGGATCAATAAAGTATTCTGATTCTGATTCTGATTCTGATTTTAAAGGTTGCATATATGTAAGTAATTAAAGGTGCAAACAGATGAAATGATAATGTAAACTAATAAAATTCAGCACTTTTTTGGGTAAATTTGATCAAATTTGTCCACAAAACGAGCATGAGGAGGCTCTCATAGAAAAACTTGTATTTATTTTGTTATGCCTATTCTGAAGTCTAAGTGCCACGGAAATTAAAAACAAAAACTCTGCTCCTGTAACCTATATTAAATTTAAGAAGGTGTTCACTGATTGCACAGACCAAAATGTTACCTGCTATTATTTATAAAAACCTGTTAAACCAAGGATTTCAAATGAATTTTACATCCGTAAGTGGGCCGAAAATGACCGAAACTTAGCTTTCTGTTTAAGAAAAGAAAAAAAGAAGAAAAAACAGTAACATTTCAACAGCGTGTCTTGAGTTTTTCTATATGATTCAAGATTCTTTATTTGTCTTATTTGTGATAAGTAGTAGCAGATGACAGAAATCTATCAGCATGACTCTTTGGGTTTAAACAGTAAAAAAAAGACTTTAACTTTACAAAATAAAAAGCCATTGGAACAGAAAACAGGCCATTTTCTCTGAATTCAGAGTTAATCTACTACATAGTTACTTTAGTGCAGCAAGAATTACCCTGGAGGAGGGGTTTATCGGTAGAAAAAGCTGTAAAACTTGTGAAAATGGGTTAGGGTTAGTATCAACGAGCAGACGTTAACGCTCGGTTGAAACTACAGGACCCATAATGCCATTCACTTCAAACTTGTCAGCGTTGCCTAGCAACGCTAGTGGACCTTTCATGTGAAAAGCTAGCTAACTAGAGTTTTTTTAAACTGTAAACGTCTTCCCTTTGACTGCTAACAAGTTATTCTGTCGTCGAGTTTTTTCTTTTAATGAAAAAATGAATGGAAAAACCGGCGAACAGTTTCCTTCCGCGTCGCTAAGCTCCTGCCCCCCCAGGGTCCCTCACTGACGCTGCTTCAGCAGAGACCCCCACCTGCACTGAGCTCGAGGAAAACGGAGGGATGGAGGTAAGGCTAGGAGGCTATGTCAACTAGTAAAAACTTTTTTTTTTAAAAAAAAGCAACATATAGTGTGAAACTTATTATATTCAATTATTGCAATTTTATGGTTTTCATAACAAAAATGTGGCTCAGCGTGTGTCATTGCGCCGAAGCAGAAACGGTGAGTTCATTTCGCAGGTTGAATAAATCCTCGTGTTTCTGTCACTGTGCAACAGGTAAAGCAGATGTCCTTGTACAAGAGGTCTGGGAAAATAAAACAGCACAGCAAGGTCAAATAGTTGAATGCTTGGAATTTGTGGTAGCTGCATCAACAACGGAGCTAAGCAGAGTCTATTTGTGTGTGTGTGTCTGTGTGTGTGCTGCATGAATATGTGCGCTTTTGCTTTTAGGCTCTCAGGACTTGGTTCTGTTTTCAGTGGCCTCTTGTGAAATGCATGATGTTATCTTTACTTTTATGGCACTTTGTAATTCTGTACCTGCTGGGTTCACTATTTTAATTAAACCTTACTTACTTGTTTATCTTATTTACAGAAGGATGGTGTTTTAACAGCTGAGATGATTTCAAATAGTATATTTCAACTCGGACGCTTTGGCACTGGGCTCCAGCACTCATTCTACATCCTTTCTCTGCCTGTGAGATACACATATTAATTCATTCATCCATGTTACTGGCTGTTTAATGAAGACCGAGGCTTTAGTAATGATTTGACATTGAGTCATGATCTTTTGCTGACAGTTAATAAATAAGAGCACACTTGATCATGACAATATAGCACAATATAGTTAAACTTAAGGGATATGAATCTGTCCAGC